ACCTGACTTATTTGACCTACATGTACTTTTAAATAGGAGAGTGACGGTTTTCTTTTCACTGTTTACAATTAAAGTAGTCATTGCTAGGTGCTTTAAAAAGATAGTCCAAATCTTGAGAACTATTCCATGCACATATTATTGCAAAGGTTTTATATTTTGTCTACCTGTCTTTTCTCAGTTGACACTGCCAAAAAGGACTTGTGTTCCTTCTGGATGGCTCTGATAGCACAAGGAAGGCTTCCCTGCCATGCGTGATTTTGTTGAGAGGGTGGTGGAGAAACTCAATGTGGGAGAGGACAGAGACCGTGTCTCTGTAGTACAGTACAGCAAAGATGCAGAGGTCAATTTCTACTTGAAAACATACAGCACAAAAGAGGATATTGTCGATTCGGTTAGAGGGTTGAGACACAAAGGAGGCAGACCCCTCAACACCGGGGCTGCCCTCCAATACGTCAAAGAATATGTCTTTACAAAACTCCTCCGGGAGTAGGCGCCTGCAGGGTGTTCCACAGATGTTGATCCTGCTAAATGGTGGAAGGTCTTTTGACAATGTAGACACCCCAGCCTCTGCTCTCAAACAGCAGGGCATCATTGTGCTTGGTATTGGAACAAGGAACTCTGACAGTGGAGAGCTGAGGAAGATCTCATATGACCCTAGTTACGCTCTATCAGTGTCTGAGTTTACTGACCTCCCCAGTGTCCAAGAACAGCTCTCCTCTGCTGATGAGCACAGTGCTAGTGAGAGCTATGCCGGTAACACCAACAGAAACTGGTAAGACAGTGACTTACTTACTTTCCAAAATCATTGTAGGATGCAATTTGAACTGTATTCAAGTGTAATTCACTAAATTCAGCTTTGAAAAAAACAGTTGCGCCATCAGAATTGCTGTTAGAATTTCGGTTTGTTTTCATCATATGACTCTTGACAACAAACCTAAACATCTCTCAAATTCTATGTTCCCTAGTGGAGAGACAACAACCAGGAAGAGATTTTGTGTTCTTGTTGGATGGATCTGATAGTACAAGAAGTGGATTCCCAGCCATGCAAGACTTTGTCCAAAGAGTAGTAGAGAAACTCAGTGTGGACGACAACAAAGACCGTGTCTCAGTGGTGCAGTACAGCAGAGATCCAGCTGTCAATTTCTATCTGAACACATACACGACAAAAGGGGAAATCCTTGACACAGTCAGAGGTTTGAAACACAAAGGCGGAAGACCCCTCAACACTGGAGCAGCTCTCCAGTACTTGAGGGATAATGTCTTTACAGCCTCTGCTGGAAGCAGGCGCCTAGAAGGAGTTCCACAGATCCTGTTATTGCTAAGTGGCGGAAGGTCTTTTGACAGTGTTGATGCACCAGCCTCTGATCTCAAACAGCTGGGTGTCTTGACCTTCGCGATTGGAACCAGGAGCTCTGATAGCAGAGAACTGGAAAAGATATCCCACGGTCCCAATTTTGTTCTATCTGTGTCTGATTTCAATGACCTTCCCAGTATCCAACAGCAACTTCAGTCCTCGGTGGAGGCTGTGGTTATAGACGTCACCCCACAAACCCCAACTGTACTTGGTATGTTAACAAGCATGTCCTCTTGTTGGCCTGAAGCCTACCTGACTTATTTGACCTACATTGTCCTTTTAAATAGAGAGAGTGACGGTTTTCTTTTCACTGTTTACAATTAAAGTAGTCATTGCTAGGTGCTTTTAAAAAGATAGTCCAAATCTTGAGAACTATTCCATGCACATATTATTGCAAAGGTTTTAATATTTTGTCTACCTGTCTTTTCTCAGTTGACACTGCCAAAAAGGACATTGTGTTCCTTCTGGATGGCTCTGATAGCACAAGGAATGGCTTCCCTGCCATGCGTGATTTTGTTGAGAGCATGGTGGAGAAACTCAATGTGGGAGAGGACAGAGACCGTGTCTCTGTAGTACAGTACAGCAAAGATGCAGAGGTCAATTTCTACTTGAAAACATACAGCACAAAAGAAGATATTGTCGATTCGGTTAGAGGGTTGAGACACAAAGGAGGCAGACCCCTCAACACCGGGGCTGCCCTCCAATACGTCAGAGAATATGTCTTTACAAACTCCTCCGGGAGTAGGCGCCTGCAGGGTGTTCCACAGATGTTGATCCTGCTAAATGGTGGAAGGTCTTTTGACAATGTAGACACCCCAGCCTCTGCTCTCAAACAGCAGGGCATCATTGTGCTTGGTATTGGAACAAGGAACTCTGACAGTGGAGAGCTGAGGAAGATCTCATATGACCCTAGTTACGCTCTATCAGTGTCTGAGTTTACTGACCTCCCCAGTGTCCAAGAACAGCTCTCCTCTGCGATGAGCACAGTGCTAGTGAGAGCTATGCCGGTAACACCAACAGAAACTGGTAAGACAGTGACTTACTTACTTTCCAAAATCATTGTAGGATGCAATTTGAACTGTATTCAAGTGTAATTCACTAAATTCAGCTTTGAAAAAAACTGTTGCGCCATCAGAATTGCTGTTAGAATTTCGGTTTGTTTTCATCATATGACTCTTGACTAACAAACCTAAACATCTCTCAAATTCTATGTTCCCTAGTGGAGAGACAACAACCAGGAAGAGATTTTGTGTTCTTGTTGGATGGATCTGATAGTACAAGAAGTGGATTCCCAGCCATGCAAGATTTTGTCCAAAGAGTAGTAGAGAAACTCAGTGTGGACGACAACAAAGACCGTGTCTCAGTGGTGCAGTACAGCAGAGATCCAGCTGTCAATTTCTATCTGAACACATACACGACAAAAGGGGAAATCCTTGACACAGTCAGAGGTTTGAAACACAAAGGCGGAAGACCCCTCAACACTGGAGCAGCTCTCCAGTACTTGAGGGATAATGTCTTTACAGCCTCTGCTGGAAGCAGGCGCCTAGAAGGAGTTCCACAGATCCTGTTATTGCTAAGTGGCGGAAGGTCTTTTGACAGTGTTGATGCACCAGCCTCTGATCTCAAACAGCTGGGTGTCTTGACCTTCGCGATTGGAACCAGGAGCTCTGATAGCAGAGAACTGGAAAAGATATCCCACGGTCCCAATTTTGTTCTATCTGTGTCTGATTTCAATGACCTTCCCAGTATCCAACAGCAACTTCAGTCCTCGGTGGAGGCTGTGGTTATAGACGTCACCCCACAAACCCCAACTGTACTTGGTATGTTAACAAGCATGTCCTCTTGTTGGCCTGAAGCCTACCTGACTTATTTGACCTACATTGTCCTTTTAAATAGAGAGAGTGACGGTTTTCTTTTCACTGTTTACAATTAAAGTAGTCATTGCTAGGTGTTTTTAAAAAGATAGTCCAAATCTTGAGAACTATTCCATGCACATATTATTGCAAAGGTTTTAATATTTTGTCTACCTGTCTTTTCTCAGTTGACACTGCCAAAAAGGACATTGTGTTCCTTCTAGATGGCTCTGATAGTACAAGGAATGGCTTCCCTGCCATGCGTGATTTTGTTGAGAGGGTGGTGGAGAAACTCAATGTGGGAGAGGACAGAGACCGTGTCTCTGTAGTACAGTACAGCAAAGATGCAGAGGTCAATTTCTACTTGAAAACATACAGCACAAAAGAAGGATATTGTCGATTCGGTTAGAGGGTTGAGACACAAAGGAGGCAGACCCCTCAACACCGGGGCTGCCCTCCAATACGTCAGAGAATATGTCTTTACAAACTCCTCCGGGAGTAGGCGCCTGCAGGGTGTTCCACAGATGTTGATCCTGCTAAATGGTGGAAGGTCTTTTGACAATGTAGACACCCCAGCCTCTGCTCTCAAACAGCAGGGCATCATTGTGCTTGGTATTGGAACAAGGAACTCTGACAGTGGAGAGCTGAGGAAGATCTCATATGACCCTAGGTACGCTCTATCAGTGTCTGAGTTTACTGACCTCCCCAGTGTCCAAGAACAGCTCTCCTCTGTGATGAGCACAGTGCTAGTGAGAGCTATGCCGGTAACACCAACAGAAACTGGTAAGACAGTGACTTACTTACTTTCCAAAATCATTGTAGGATGCAATTTGAACTGTATTCAAGTGTAATTCACTAAATTCAGCTTTGAAAAAAACTGTTGCGCCATCAGAATTGCTGTTAGAATTTTGGTTTGTTTTCATCATATGACTCTTGACAACAAACCTAAACATCTCTCAAATTCTATGTTCCCTAGTGGAGAGACAACAACCAGGAAGAGATTTTGTGTTCTTGTTGGATGGATCTGATAGTACAAGAAGTGGATTCCCAGCCATGCAAGACTTTGTCCAAAGAGTAGTAGAGAAACTCAGTGTGGACGACAACAAAGACCGTGTCTCAGTGGTGCAGTACAGCAGAGATCCAGCTGTCAATTTCTATCTGAACACATACACGACAAAAGGGGAAATCCTTGACACAGTCAGAGGTTTGAAACACAAAGGCGGAAGACCCCTCAACACTGGAGCAGCTCTCCAGTACTTGAGGGATAATGTCTTTACAGCCTCTGCTGGAAGCAGGCGCCTAGAAGGAGTTCCACAGATCCTGTTATTGCTAAGTGGCGGAAGGTCTTTTGACAGTGTTGATGCACCAGCCTCTGATCTCAAACAGCTGGGTGTCTTGACCTTCGCGATTGGAACCAGGAGCTCTGATAGCAGAGAACTGGAAAAGATATCCCACGGTCCCAATTTTGTTCTATCTGTGTCTGATTTCAATGACCTTCCCAGTATCCAACAGCAACTTCAGTCCTCGGTGGAGGCTGTGGTTATAGACGTCACCCCACAAACCCCAACTGTACTTGGTATGTTAACAAGCATGTCCTCTTGTTAGGCCTGAAGCCTACCTGACTTATTTGACCTACATTGTACTTTTAAATAGAGAGAGTGACGGTTTTCTTTTCACTGTTTACAATTAAAGTAGTCATTGCTAGGTGCTTTAAAAAGATAGTCCAAATCTTGAGAACTATTCCATGCACATATTATTGCAAAGGTTTTAATATTTTGTCTACCTGTCTTTTCTCAGTTGACACTGCCAAAAAGGACATTGTGTTCCTTCTGGATGGCTCTGATAGCACAAGGAATGGCTTCCCTGCCATGCGTGATTTTGTTGAGAGGGTGGTGGAGAAACTCAATGTGGGAGAGGACAGAGACCGTGTCTCTGTAGTACAGTACAGCAAAGATGCAGAGGTCAATTTCTACTTGAAAACATACAGCACAAAAGAGGATATTGTCGATTCGGTTAGAGTGTTGAGACACAAAGGAGGCAGACACCTCAACACCGGGGCTGCCCTCCAATACGTCAGAGAATATGTCTTTACAAACTCCTCCGGGAGTAGGCGCCTGCAGGGTGTTCCACAGATGTTGATCCTGCTAAATGGTGGAAGGTCTTTTGACAATGTAGACACCCCAGCCTCTGCTCTCAAACAGCAGGGCATCATTGTGCTTGGTATTGGAACAAGGAACTCTGACAGTGGAGAGCTGAGGAAGATCTCATATGACCCTAGTTACGCTCTATCAGTGTCTGAGTTTACTGACCTCCCCAGTGTCCAAGAACAGCTCTCCTCTGCGATTAGCACAGTGCTAGTGAGAGCTATGCCGGTATCACCAACAGAAACTGGTAAGACAGTGACTTACTTACTTTCCAAAATCATTGTAGGATGCAATTTGAACTGTATTCAAGTGTAATTCACTAAATTCAGCTTTGAAAAAAACATGTTGCGCCATCAGAATTGCATGTTAGAATTTCGGTTTGTTTTCATCATATGACTCTTGACTAACAAACCTAAACATCTCTCAAATTCTATGTTCCCTAGTGGAGAGACAACAACCAGGAAGAGATTTTGTGTTCTTGTTGGATGGATCTGATAGTACAAGAAGTGGATTCCCAGCCATGCAAGACTTTGTCCAAAGAGTAGTAGAGAAACTCAGTGTGGACGACAACAAAGACCGTGTCTCAGTGGTGCAGTACAGCAGAGATCCAGCTGTCAATTTCTATCTGAACACATACACGACAAAAGGGGAAATCCTTGACACAGTCAGAGGTTTGAAACACAAAGGCGGAAGACCCCTCAACACTGGAGCAGCTCTCCAGTACTTGAGGGATAATGTCTTTACAGCCTCTGCTGGAAGCAGGCGTCCTAGAAGGAGTTCCACAGATCCTGTTATTGCTAAGTGGCGGAAGGTCTTTTGACAGTGTTGATGCACCAGCCTCTGATCTCAAACAGCTGGGTGTCTTGACCTTCGCGATTGGAACCAGGAGCTCTGATAGCAGAGAACTGGAAAAGATATCCCACGGTCCCAATTTTGTTCTATCTGTGTCTGATTTCAATGACCTTCCCAGTATCCAACAGCAACTTCAGTCCTCGGTGGAGGCTGTGGTTATAGACGTCACCCCACAAACCCCAACTGTACTTGGTATGTTAACAAGCATGTCCTCTTGTTGGCCTGAAGCCTACCTGACTTATTTGACCTACATTGTACTTTTAAATAGAGAGGGTGCCGGTTTTCTTTTCACTGTTTACAATTAAAGTAGTCATTGCTAGGTGCTTTCAAAAAGATACTCCAAATCTTGAGAACTATTCCATGCACATATTATTGCAAAGGTTTTAATATTTTGTCTACCTGTCTTTTCTCAGTTGACACTGCCAAAAAGGACATTGTGTTCCTTCTGGATGGCTCTGATAGCACAAGGAATGGCTTCCCTGCCATGCGTGATTTTGTTGAGAGGGTGGTGGAGAAACTCAATGTGGGAGAGGACAGAGACCGTGTCTCTGTAGTACAGTACAGCAAAGATGCAGAGGTCAATTTCTACTTGAAAACATACAGCACAAAAGAGGATATTGTCGATTCGGTTAGAGGGTTGAGACACAAAGGAGGCAGACCCCTCAACACCGGGGCTGCCCTCCAATACGTCAGAGAATATGTCTTTACCAACTCCTCCGGGAGTAGGCGCCTGCAGGGTGTTCCACAGATGTTGATCCTGCTAAATGGTGGAAGGTCTTTTGACAATGTAGACACCCCAGCCTCTGCTCTCAAACAGCAGGGCATCATTGTGCTTGGTATTGGAACAAGGAACTCTGACAGTGGAGAGCTGAGGAAGATCTCATATGACCCTAGTTACGCTCTATCAGTGTCTGAGTTTACTGACCTCCCCAGTGTCCAAGAACAGCTCTCCTCTGCGATTAGCACAGTGCTAGTGAGAGCTATGCCGGTATCACCAACAGAAACTGGTAAGACAGTGACTTACTTACTTTCCAAAATCATTGTAGGATGCAATTTGAACTGTATTCAAGTGTAATTCACTAAATTCAGCTTTGAAAAAAACAGTTGCGCAATCAGAATTAATGTTAGAATTTCGGTTTGTTTTCATCATATGACTCTTGATAACAAACCTAAACATCTCTCAAATTCTATGTTCCCTAGTGGAGAGACAACAACCAGGAAGAGATTTTGTGTTCTTGTTGGATGGATCTGATAGTACAAGAAGTGGATTCCCAGCCATGCAAGACTTTGTCCAAAGAGTAGTAGAGAAACTCAGTGTGGACGACAACAAAGACCGTGTCTCAGTGGTGCAGTACAGCAGAGATCCAGCTGTCAATTTCTATCTGAACACATACACGACAAAAGGGGAAATCCTTGACACAGTCAGAGGTTTGAAACACAAAGGCGGAAGACCCCTCAACACTGGAGCAGCTCTCCAGTACTTGAGGGATAATGTCTTTACAGCCTCTGCTGGAAGCAGGCGCCTAGAAGGAGTTCCACAGATCCTGTTATTGCTAAGTGGCGGAAGGTCTTTTGACAGTGTTGATGCACCAGCCTCTGATCTCAAACAGCTGGGTGTCTTGACCTTCGCGATTGGAACCAGGAGCTCTGATAGCAGAGAACTGGAAAAGATATCCCACGGTCCCAATTTTGTTCTATCTGTGTCTGATTTCAATGACCTTCCCAGTATCCAACAGCAACTTCAGTCCTCGGTGGAGGCTGTGGTTATAGACGTCACCCCACAAACCCCAACTGTACTTGGTATGTTAACAAGCATGTCCTCTTGTTGGCCTGAAGCCTACCTGACTTATTTGACCTACATTGTACTTTTAAATAGAGAGGGTGCCGGTTTTCTTTTCACTGTTTACAATTAAAGTAGTCATTGCTAGGTGCTTTCAAAAAGATACTCCAAATCTTGAGAACTATTCCATGCACATATTATTGCAAAGGTTTTAATATTTTGTCTACCTGTCTTTTCTCAGTTGACACTGCCAAAAAGGACATTGTGTTCCTTCTGGATGGCTCTGATAGCACAAGGAATGGCTTCCCTGCCATGCGTGATTTTGTTGAGAGGGTGGTGGAGAAACTCAATGTGGGAGAGGACAGAGACCGTGTCTCTGTAGTACAGTACAGCAAAGATGCAGAGGTCAATTTCTACTTGAAAACATACAGCACAAAAGAGGATATTGTCGATTCGGTTAGAGGGTTGAGACACAAAGGAGGCAGACCCCTCAACACCGGGGCTGCCCTCCAATACGTCAGAGAATATGTCTTTACAAACTCCTCCGGGAGTAGGCGCCTGCAGGGTGTTCCACAGATGTTGATCCTGCTAAATGGTGGAAGGTCTTTTGACAATGTAGACACCCCAGCCTCTGCTCTCAAACAGCAGGGCATCATTGTGCTTGGTATTGGAACAAGGAACTCTGACAGTGGAGAGCTGAGGAAGATCTCATATGACCCTAGTTACGCTCTATCAGTGTCTGAGTTTACTGACCTCCCCAGTGTCCAAGAACAGCTCTCCTCTGCGATTAGCACAGTGCTAGTGAGAGCTATGCCGGTATCACCAACAGAAACTGGTAAGACAGTGACTTACTTACTTTCCAAAATCATTGTAGGATGCAATTTGAACTGTATTCAAGTGTAATTCACTAAATTCAGCTTTGAAAAAAACAGTTGCGCCATCAGAATTAATGTTAGAATTTCGGTTTGTTTTCATCATATGACTCTTGATAACAAACCTAAACATCTCTCAAATTCTATGTTCCCTAGTGGAGAGACAACAACCAGGAAGAGATTTTGTGTTCTTGTTGGATGGATCTGATAGTACAAGAAGTGGATTCCCAGCCATGCAAGACTTTGTCCAAAGAGTAGTAGAGAAACTCAGTGTGGACGACAACAAAGACCGTGTCTCAGTGGTGCAGTACAGCAGAGATCCAGCTGTCAATTTCTATCTGAACACATACACGACAAAAGGGGAAATCCTTGACACAGTCAGAGGTTTGAAACACAAAGGCGGAAGACCCCTCAACACTGGAGCAGCTCTCCAGTACTTGAGGGATAATGTCTTTACAGCCTCTGCTGGAAGCAGGCGTCTAGAAGGAGTTCCACAGATCCTGTTATTGCTAAGTGGCGGAAGGTCTTTTGACAGTGTTGATGCACCAGCCTCTGATCTCAAACAGCTGGGTGTCTTGACCTTCGCGATTGGAACCAGGAGCTCTGATAGCAGAGAACTGGAAAAGATATCCCACGGTCCCAATTTTGTTCTATCTGTGTCTGATTTCAATGACCTTCCCAGTATCCAACAGCAACTTCAGTCCTCGGTGGAGGCTGTGGTTATAGACGTCACCCCACAAACCCCAACTGTACTTGGTATGTTAACAAGCATGTCCTCTTGTTGGCCTGAAGCCTACCTGACTTATTTGACCTACATTGTACTTTTAAATAGAGAGGGTGCCGGTTTTCTTTTCACTGTTTACAATTAAAGTAGTCATTGCTAGGTGCTTTCAAAAAGATACTGCAAATCTTGAGAACTATTCCATGCACATATTATTGCAAAGGTTTTAATATTTTGTCTACCTGTCTTTTCTCAGTTGACACTGCCAAAAAGGACATTGTGTTCCTTCTGGATGGCTCTGATAGCACAAGGAATGGCTTCCCTGCCATTCGTGATTTTGTTGAGAGGGTGGTGGAGAAACTCAATGTGGGAGAGGACAGAGACCGTGTCTCTGTAGTACAGTACAGCAAAGATGCAGAGGTCAATTTCTACTTGAAAACATACAGCACAAAAGAGGATATTGTCGATTCCGTTAAAGGGTTGAGACACAAAGGAGGCAGACCCCTCAACACCGGGGCTGCCCTCCAATACGTCAGAGAATATGTCTTTACAAACTCCTCCGGGAGTAGGCGCTTGCAGGGTGTTCCACAGATGTTGATCCTGCTAAATGGTGGAAGGTCTTTTGACAATGTAGACACCCCAGCCTCTGCTCTCAAACAACAGGGCATCATTGTGCTTGGTATTGGAACAAGGAACTCTGACAGTGGAGAGCTGAGGAAGATCTCATATGACCCTAGTTACGCTCTATCAGTGTCTGAGTTTACTGACCTCCCCAGTGTCCAAGAACAGCTCTCCTCTGTGATGAGCACAGTGCTAGTGAGAGCTATGCCGGTATCACCAACAGAAACTGGTAAGACAGTGACTTACTTACTTTTCAAAATCATTGTAGGATGCAATTTGAACTGTATTCAAGTGTAATTCACAAAATTCAGCTTTTAAAAAAAACAGTTGCCCCATCAGAATTGCTGTTAGAGTTTCGGTTTGTTTTCATCATATGACTCTTGACAACAAACCTAAACATCTTTCAAATTCTATGTTCCCTAGTGGAGAGACAACAACCAGGAAGAGATTTTGTGTTCTTGTTGGATGGATCTGATAGTACTAGAAGTGGATTCCCAGCCATGCGAGACTTTGTCCAAAGAGTAGTAGAGAAACTCAGTGTGGACGACAACAAAGACCGTGTCTCAGTGGTGCAGTACAGCAGAGATCCAGCTCTCAATTTCTATCTGAACACATACACGACAAAAGGGGAAATCCTTGACACAGTCAGAGGTTTGAAACACAAAGGCGGAAGACCCCTCAAAACTGGAGCAGCTCTCCAGTACTTGAGGGATAATGTCTTTACAGCCTCTGCTGGAAGCAGGCGCCTAGAAGGAGTTCCACAGATCCTGTTATTGCTAAGTGGCGGAAGGTCTTTTGACAGTGTTGATGCACCAGCCTCTGATCTCAAACAGCTGGGTGTCTTGACCTTCGCGATTGGAACCAGGAGCTCTGATAGCAGAGAACTGGAAAAGATATCCCACGGTCCCAATTTTGTTCTATCTGTGTCTGATTTCAATGACCTTCCCAGTATCCAACAGCAACTTCAGTCCTCGGTTGAGGCTGTGGTTATAGACGTCACCCCACAAACCCCAACTGTACTTGGTATGTTAACAAGCATGTCCTCTTGTTGGCCTGAAGCCTACCTGACTTATTTGACCTACATTGTACTTTTAAATAGAGAGGGTGCCGGTTTTCTTTTCACTGTTTACAATTAAAGTAGTCATTGCTAGGTGCTTTCAAAAAGTTAGTCCAAATCTTGAGAACTATTCCATGCACATATTATTGCAAAGGTTTTAATATTTTGTCTACCTGTCTTTTCTCAGTTGACACTGCCAAAAAGGACATTGTGTTCCTTCTGGATGGCTCTGATAGCACAAGGAATGGCTTCCCTGCCATGCTTGATTTTGTTGAGAGGGTGGTGGAGAAACTCAATGTGGGAGAGGACAGAGACCGTGTCTCTGTAGTACAGTACAGCAAAGATGCAGAGGTCAATTTCTACTTGAAAACATACAGCACAAAAGAGGATATTGTCGATTCGGTTAGAGGGTTGAGACACAAAGGAGGCAGACACCTCAACTCCGGGGCTGCCCTCCAATACGTCAGAGAATATGTCTTTACAAACTCCTCCGGGAGTAGGCGCCTGCAGGGTGTTCCACAGATGTTGATCCTGCTAAATGGTGGAAGGTCTTTTGACAATGTAGACACCCCAGCCTCTGCTCTCAAACAGCAGGGCATCATTGTGCTTGGTATTGGAACAAGGAACTCTGACAGTGGAGAGCTGAGGAAGATCTCATATGACCCTAGTTACGCTCTATCAGTGTCTGAGTTTACTGACCTCCCCAGTGTCCAAGAACAGCTCTCCTCTGTGATGAGCACAGTGCTAGTGAGAGCTATGCCGGTAACACCGACAGAAACTGGTAAGACAGTGACTTACTTACATTCCAAAATCATTGTAGGATGCAGTTTGAACTGTATTCAAGTGTAATTCACTAAATTCAGCTTTGAAAAAAACAGTTGCGCCATCAGAATTGCTGTTAGAATTTTGGTTTGTTTTCATCATATGACTCTTGACAACAAACCTAAACATATCTCAAATTCTATGTTCCCTAGTGGAGAGACAACAACCAGGAAGAGATTTTGTGTTCTTGTTGGATGGATCTGATAGTACAAGAAATGGATTCCCAGCCATGCAAGACTTTGTCCAAAGAGTAGTAGAGAAACTCAGTGTGGACGACAACAAAGACCGTGTCTCAGTGGTGCAGTACAGCAGAGATCCAGCTGTCAATTTCTATCTGAACACATACACGACAAAAGGGGAAATCCTTGACACAGTCAGAGGTTTGAAACACAAAGGCGGAAGACCCCTCAACACTGGAGCAGCTCTCCAGTACTTGAGGGATAATGTCTTTACAGCCTCTGCTGGAAGCAGGCATCTAGAAGGAGTTCCACAGATCCTGTTATTGCTAAGTGGCGGAAGGTCTGTTGACAGTGTTGATGCACCAGCCTCTGATCTCAAACAGCTGGGTGTCTTGACCTTCGCAATTGGAACCAGGAGCTCTGATAGCAGAGAACTGGAAAAGATATCCCACGGTCCCAATTTTGTTCTATCTGTGTCTGATTTCAATGACCTTCCCAGTATCCAACAGCAACTTCAGTCCTCGGTGGAGGCCGCTGTCATTCAGCTCTCCCAAGAAACACTTGGTATGTTGAATTAAAAAGGCCACCAGACTTGTTTGCCCTTAATGCAATGTATTATACTCCAAGCACTCGTTCTCACCTTATTTAGATGACGGCTGAAAAAACAGAATTAGAAGGGTTCTCACTCTATTTAATCTTTTTTAATTTGATTTCCTATTCAGTCAGCATAAAGTTGTTGTTCCTACAGAAAATTGATTGCGTTGATCAGAGGTTAATCAGATTTGTGTATGCTACAAAGTATGTTTGTCTCAACTTTGTGACCTCTTAAACAATGCATAACTCAATACGTGTTGAATAAATGTACTTGAAGTAAGTGATGCAAAAATCATAAAAGTTTAAAGCAACAGTTTAGGTAGACATTCAACATATTTTACTTTGCATAAACTTTGCCTTTAATATTGTGTGTTATGGGTTATCACAGACAATATGGCTAATTATTTCTTAATTGGTTATTCATATGTTTGATAAATCTGCAGCCTACTGAAGATGAAGAAGTTTCACAATAGAGTGCAGTGCTTGATTCTGAGGACTCTTGAATCTGAGTCTCAGGAAATAAAGCCTACATTGGAATGCTTATCTTGCAAACTCAAACAAGAGTCTTTTTGAGTTGATTCTTTCTTTTGCTAGCAGCTGCATTCTCTCTTTAAGCAAATGTATATTCTTGATGATCTTTTTTATTTATTTCTGTCTTTCAGGTGAGACACAGGGATCCCGGAAGGATATCGTTTTCCTCGTTGATGGATCTGATGGTGTTGGACGGGAATTTCCCATCATCCAGGAGTTTATCCGCAGGGTTGTTGATACTCTCAATGTGGGCGAAAACAAGATCCGGATTGGCGTGGTCCAGTATGGTGACATTGCCCAAGTTGACATGTATCTGAACAAACATAAAACCAAAGAAGGTGTTTTGAATGCGGTCAGGGAAATGAGGCATCGAGGTGGAAGACAACGTAACCTGGGTCAGGCCTTGCAGTTTATCAATCAAGATGTTCTGACACCTGCCCATGGTAGCAGGAAGCAAGAGAGTGTACCACAGTTTGTTATTGTCATCTCAAGTGGGTCTTCCACAGATGACATCAATCGCGCAGCATCTTCCCTCAAACAATCCAGAGTTCTTCCCTTCTCCATTGGGACCAGGGATGTCAACCCTACAGAGCTTCAGGTGGTGTCATACGTGCCTAACTTTGCCTTCAGTGTAGATGATCTGCCTGGCCTGTACACAGTCCAAGAAAACTTAATCACCACACTCACTGAGCTGTCAGATGATGACATCAACAGTTTGCGTCCAGTATTCCCAACAATTGAAGGTAATTTTTATCCTATGGTTTAATACATTGATTTACTGCCTAAACATTCTCACATACCCCTATCCAATACTTTACTATAGTATGTTATTTTACATTTGCCTTATTTCTTTACATGATTATTTACTTTCTCAGTCATACTGTATATCCTCTACACCATGTATATTAGAAACACTCTAATAAATAATGTTACCTTGTTACTGTGCTTGCATTGTTTTGGAGCAGTAATCCAACCAGTACCCACAGGAGGAGAAAAGAGGGATGTCGTGTTTCTGATTGATGGCACAACAGCAATGCGTAGTGAGTTCCCTTCCATCCGTGAAATGATTGGAAGAGTTGTGGATAAGCTGGATGTAGGATTGGATAAGGTCCGAATTTCAGTGGTACAGTACAGTGATGACCCGAAGCCAGAATTTCTTCTGAAAGAATTCTCTACCAAAGATGAGGTACGACAGGCTGTGACGAAACTGCGAACCAAAGGTGGAAACCGTCTTAACACAGGTCGTGCTCTTGAGTATGTCCACAGAAATATCTACCAGAGATCAGCGGGTAGCCGCATCGAGGATGGTGTGCCTCAGTTCCTGATTCTAGTTACAGGTGGCAAATCTTCTGATGATGTATCCACTGCAGCTGACCAACTTAAAAGAAACCAGGTTGCACCTCTTGCAATTGGTTCAAGGAATGCAGACCCTGATGAACTGAGACAGATTTCCCTGAGGCCTGAACTGGCATACACAGTTGACAGTTTCCAGCAGCTTCCAAGAGTGGAGTCACAGCTCATTAATTCAGTGAAAACAATATCCACCACTGACATCATCAGCAGTTATGTTCCTCCCCCAGTGGACTTGGGTAAGAAATACTATCTCATATATTCATGGTTAAGTTAACTTCAAGTTTGTTTTAAATGCTCATAAAACATTGCTTAAACATGTCTTTATAATTTGCTCAGGGCATAGTAGTATGTGGTTAAGGGTTTAGGGCAGTGTTCACCCATCCACTACTGCATGCCTCCAGACCTAAGTTTTGTTAAGGAGTGGTGTTAAAGTCATACACATTTTTCAGTCATTTAATAATATATTTCAAAATGAAGTATGTCTCCTTTTCCCTCTGTGCTTAATGTGCAGGCCCAACCCTAAATCTTGGGAGAAAGGACATCATCTTCCTTATTGATGGCTCAGACAATACAGGTGCTGCTGGAATTGCACATATCCGTGACTTCATCTTCAACATTGTCCAACAACTCGATGTGCAGCCTGATCAAGTGCGTGTTGCTGTTGTCCAGTATGCAGACAGAGTAAAGACAGAGTTCTCACTCAATTCTCACAACAACAAGCCAGCTGTTGTTTCTGCTGTTAAAAGACTTCGTCAGATGGGTGGCCGGTCATCAGATCTGGCTGATGCCATTGAATACGTCATAAAGAATGAGTTAAAGCCCGCTGCTGGTGTTCGTCCTGCAGCCTCCCAGCATCTTGTGGTTCTCACAGGTGGACGTTCCCGCCAAGATGTTGCTCTTTATGGACCTCTGCTTAAGGGCTCCCGGGTCAACTGCATTGGTGTTGGAGCAGCTGGTGCTGACAGAAAACAGCTAAGCCAAATTGCCACCACCTCATCTGATGTCCTTCAGGTTTCTAACTTCCCTGGCCTATCTTCAATCCAGCAGGGGGTTATTGACAGGCTGAGAACCAGCGCTGATGACTTACCCACAGAATATCCAAGTAAGTTGAGAAAAATTCACATTCCTAAATATCTCACGGTCTCACAATGTAATGAGTACATTGTCTACATTTATTCTCCAGTTCTTACAATTCTCTACCCTGTTCTCACCAATTTTGCCTCTCTCTTCCTAGCATCAACAGGCGTGCCATCCAAAAAGGCTGATATAGTGTTTTTGGTGGATGGCTCCATTAACTTGGGAAGGGACAACTTCAATGAAGTGATGAAGTTTATCACCAACCTAATTGATCTGTTCTTCAATGAACAAGACAACCTTCAGATCGGCTTGGCGCAATATACCACAGATGTTACTGATGTATTCTACCTCAACACATACAAGAACAAGCAAGACATTGTAAGTGCCATTGGCCGAGCAGATTACAAAGGTGGACGTAGAATCAACACTGGTGCAGCCATTCGCCACGTTGAAGATGTTTACTTTACCAAAGAAAAAGGCAGTAGGATGGATGATGGCACTCCTCAGATCCTTATGGTTCTCACTGGAGGACGTTCAGCTGATGATGGAAAAACAGCAGCTCTTGGTTTGAAGAAAAAAGGTGTGAGAGTCTTTGCTATAGGAGTGGGCGACATTGAGAGTGAATTAGAAGACCTAGCAAGCGAGTCCTCCACTGTGGCTAGGGCAAGCACCTATCTGGGACTTTCCGAGCTGAATGAGCAAATCCTGGAGACTTTGGATGATGAAGTGAAAGGGAAGTTGTGTGTTGGTGTGCCAGAATCTACTAAAAGTAAGATATATTTTTTCATGTAATACCTTTCATGAGCTGTTTCACATTTTGCAGCTAAAATGTAAACGTTTCAGTTTCTGTGGTTTAGCCAAAATGCCTAATAACACATGCTCTGTCTTACAGCCTGCAGCATAGAAGTGTTGGTGGGTTTTGATGTTTCTGAACAAGACATCTTCAGTGCTCAGACCAGCCTACAGAAGAGGATGGAAGCCATTCTGAAGAGGATTTCCAAAATGGCAGCTATCAGTTGCTCATCCGGGCAGATTCCGTCTGTCCAAGTGGGCATGCTGGCCATGGACTCTAACTCTAATCCTATTCAGCTGGACTTTACAGAAAATGATCAAGTTCTCTTTGAGGCCTTCAAAGCCCTACAGAGGCGTGGCCCCTTTGTCCTAAATGGAAAAACCATCTCAGCTTACATCGAAAGGTTCAAAACCAGACATGACGTTATCAAGGTTGGTTACTGAAACAGTTTTAACAACAGATATGCCAGGCTAAAATCAAATTTGTAAAAGTTATAATATATTCTGGTATCTAGACTTTAATGGTGCGTTCACACCAGACGCAATGCAAACATTTGCATCGCTTTTCAGTTGTGTTTACTCGCATCATTCAAACTAGACTCTCTAGCGAGGAGGCGTGGCTTATCTCCATGTAGATACTATTTTAGATACCAACTACAACAAAATGAACATATTTGACTGTGATTTCATTGTAATACATGTTTAAAAATTGAAATAACGACATACTGATACTAGTTATTAAAAACCATGAGTTAATGTATTTGCGTCTATCTGCTTCCGGTGTGAACGTACCCTAACTCTTTCTTTCTTATCAGCAAAGGGCAGTGTGCAACCTGTAGTAGCTATTTTTAGCAAGCACTGATAGTCGCTATTGTTGTTGTTCAGAAATGTAAGCTTTTGCTAATTAACATTAAGTAAGTGAGTTTCTTGATGGCAGGCAAACATCAAGCTGGAATGCTGAAAGTGCTTCCTGTAGCCAGTTTATATACTTGTTAAACGTTGTTCACAAGACAAGAACCTCCACACTATAACACCACTGCACAATAAGAGCTCTAGTAAGAGGTTTTCTCTCCAGCACACTGCTTCATGTCAGGTTCAGTTGTTTCATTCTCCAAGTTAATCTTCATTTATATTTAATCAACATTTAGGTAACAAATAAAAGCTGAACCCTGTATTTGGACATACATATATAAAGACCAGGAAAGAGGCAACATAATCTGGATAGTTTCATTTTAAATGTACTAAACAATAGACCCATGGAGAACGTAAGGATGTGTCAAACTGATTTGATTTGTTCTACTTAAGGTTGTTGTTCATCTGACTGATGGTATTGACGCCCAATACGCTGAATTGAAAAAAGGAGTTGAGGAGCTTCAGATGTCAGGTACACAGATGATGCAACAGTCCTTAATGACTATCTATCCTTAAACTTGTGAAATGATCATGTTATATTCATAAGTAATCAATGTTCCTTCAACTCTTCTAATTACAAAACAGGAGTGAACAGTTTCATTCTAGTTGGGCTCGAGCGGGTGCCCAAATTTGAGGAGGCTTTGCTGCTGGAATTTGGTCGCGGATTTAGGTACACCAGACCCCTACGAGTCAATGTCATGGAATTGGACTATGAGCTGATGGAAGAACTGGTGAGTTCTATTCAGTTAGACGGAAGTATTTTGTGAGCGTTATTATTAAACATTGAATTACTTAACATTTGGGGTTTTGCTGTGTAGGACAATATTGCAGAGAGAGAGTGCTGTGCAGTGCCGTGCAAATGTACCGGCACCAGAGGAGACCGAGGAGCAGTTGGACTTCCAGGAACAAAGGTATGCACATTCACCGGTTCAGAGTTTGACTCAGGTCATTCTTGTTATTTCTATTCATACTATTACTACATGTGTACTCCTATTTTATCTTATTTTATTTGTATTCTTTTATTTGTATGTATTATTATCCCATGTGTACTATCTGTGTTTCTGTCTTATTCTGTTGCTGCTACAACACCTGAATTTCCCCACGGGGATCAATAACGGTCCATCTCATCTTATCTTAACATTATTGTTTTTCAAAAGCTAAAGTGTTGGTAATTTCTGTTTTAGGGTGGTCCGGGATTAACAGGAAGCCAAGGACATCCTGGAGATGAGGGAGGACCTGTGAGTTTGAATGCCTCGTCACAGTCTGATGATGTTTCCATCTTTCTTTCCTAATATATAATTATAAAACCATTTTCAAACAATGTTAATCAATATATTTTTTTTTTTCACCAACTTTATTTTATTTTCAAATGTTCTTTCCTGCTTTATTCTGTCTCTGTAATTTATTTTCTTTATTCTGTAATGACAGGGAGAGAGAGGTCCTCCTGGTGTGAATGGAACTCAGGGTTTCCAGGGATGTCCTGGACAAAGGGGTGTCAAGGTAAAGGCTTTGACATTACATTTAACATTCAATTTAAACTAATTTCTTACTTTAAATGTTCAACATTGTTGTTTTGTATTTAATATAATGGGATAAAACAGTTTTTCCTTTTGTTCAGGGTTCTCGTGGCTACTCAGGAGAAAAGGTGAGTATGTTCTCTTAGGAGAACTCGTCATTATTAGATTATACTGTCAGCAAAGAATGTTGGACTGATAATCTGACAACTGTAAATGTGTTTTAGGGTGAATTTGGAGAAATCGGGCTTGATGGCATTAATGGAGAAGAGGTAAGTGTGTGTTATATTACATTTTGTCATTAAGTCTTTGTGCTTTATATGTAATACATCATACAGAATACAGATTTGAGAGCTTCTTGTCTTCCCACAAAAGAGTCGTGTGAAAAATATGTGATGTGCTTTGGTTTATGTATGATTATGGGCTTTAATATGCATCTTCTCTATATTACAGGGCAAAAGTGGAGTGGCTGGACTCTCCGGAGACAGTGGAAACCATGGCATGAGAGTTAGTGACTGGATACATTACCTTTTACATTTGATATACCCATACTTCTTTACACATATCATATTGCTAGTGCTGATCAATGTTCACATATTGTTCTTAGGGTCCCAAAGGCCTCAAAGGACAAAGTGGAGGCATAGGAGATCAGGGAATCCGAGGAGACCCCGTGAGTACTATGGATGCTGGTTTTACTTCCTTTTACTGCCAGGATCTATAACACATCTACATTCACTGTGTTAAACATGGATACTTTAGACAAAGTTAACAGTTCTGTTAAAAAATAATAAGTCCTATACCAGCTGAATGTTGAACTTGAAAAAGTGTTTTCTTGCTAATAGGGTACAAGTGGACAAGATAACACCCGTGCAGGATCTAAAGGAGACCCCGGTGATGCAGGACCAGCGGTAACATCCCTCTTAACACATTATAATGCTTTGAAAATGAAAACAAATATCCTGCCAATCCATTTTAAACAGATCCTGCTTGATTGTATTTACATGCTGGGTTCATTCGGACATTTGCTCTGAAATGACAGGGAGAGCTTGGTGAGGATGGAAAGAAGGGTGGCCCCGGTGAACTTGGAAGAGGGGTAAATCATTTGACCATATCTTCACTAACTTCGTTTAATACTAACATGCAACTTTTTTTTTAATCAAAAGGTTATTCTACTCCCACTTTATTAGGGACCTAATGGCAGAAGAGGCCCACCTGGACAAGCTGTATGTCCCTTTATAGTGATACCATACATTGTTTTATACATATTGCAGTAACTTTTGTAGTTGCGATAACATTTTGCTGTTGGCATGTCGTTAAAGGGAAATCCTGGAAAGCCTGGAGTGGAGGGTGTTCAGGGAGAACCTGGTATTGGAGGATCTAGAGTAAGTTTGTCCTTCTTTTCATAATATTTGGCAGATTATCCAATTCACAAATTCACCTGCCAAACATGTATTACAGAGAATGCTGTCATTACTTGGCCACAATAGCATCATTACAAATGGTTTTTACTGGACTGTGGCTGATGTATTTATTTATCTAGGAATATGTTTTTTCATTCTCTATTTGAGTGTTGGAAGTCTAGCTCTAAAATTGAAGAGACTGGTGCATCATAAATGTCTGGTTTGTCTTCTTTAAGGGACCCTCTGGACCGATAGGTGCACCAGGACCCAGAGGAGAAGATGGAAATCCTGGACCCAGGGTGAGTGAACCTCTGAGGACAATTTTATTCAATATTTATTTTAGCTATGTCTGTAACATACTACAATCATATTGATTGAAGAAAGGACATGTATATTTATTGATCACATTTAAAACCATTTTTAAATGGTTTCAAATGATCAAATGCAGATAAAGAACAGAGACAAATTAACCACACATTGCAACTATTAACAATTTGTTTTGGTTTAATTAACTGAAAAAAGGTGCACAGTATACCTTTATTTAGGAAAATGGTATGTATTTTAACGTTTTATTTTTCAGGGTCCCGGAGGTATCCCAGGTACAGCTGGAGAAAAGGGGAGAAGAGCAGCTCTTGGTCGCAAGGTATTGAGTGGAAGATAATTGTATGGCTTATGTTCTCCCATCACCTGCTTGTTTCCTTTATAGACAGACACGCTGGCCCAAGCCCAGCTCTCTTACAATCTCGGACATATATGAATAGTCTATTTCAGCCGGCATGAAAGCACTATTAGAAAACATGAAGGTGCAGAACCTTCATGTTTTCTAATAGTGCTGAGATCTACTGCAAATATAACTTCATTAAATCCTTAGAAACTCTATCCTGACAGCTCAAAGATACATTTCCCTCTTAACTTGAAGCATTGACATTCACTTGTGTAATTATTGCTGTCTCTGTCTCATTGTCTGTATCTGCCTGTCTCTGTGCCATTGTAGGGGGAGCCAGGAGACCCAGGACCTAAGGGTGTTGTTGGACCTTTTGGTCCCCGTGGAGAGCCTGTAAGAGTGCAGACAAATCTTCTTGCATGATCCATAATGTAAAATGGTGAAAGTTGGCCAGATAAGAACCATTCTTCATGATATCAGATAAACACAGTTTATCATGTTGTTTAGGGAAACGAATGTCCAAACAGCAGACAGTTATTAGATCATCTTTTGAATATATACCACTGCCTCACTGCCGTGTTTGCTTTAAAGCAAGGATCTCTATCTGAAAGCGGCTCTGTTGTGTTAAGGAATTGGTGTTTTTGCTGGGACGGATCGTATTCCACGTGTTCTGTCTTTAATAAGTACTCTGACTTTGATTGGACGTTGGTTGAGCCTTTCTCTTCTCCTTTGTTTCAAAGGGGGAAGACGGCAAAGACGGGTTTGGCGTTGCAGGGCTTATAGGAAGAAAGGCAAGTACACTTTTATCTCTAATAATCGGAAGTAATGTATGGTAATAAAAACATGGTTTTGTCATCTTCAATAAAATTAGTGTTAAAATGGTATTTAGCCTCATATATCTAATGATTAGAAAAGAACAATGTGAGGTCAAGAATCCTCAGGCTAATACAGCAGACCTCGCTCTCACAACTAAAGGAAGAAGAATAAATGAAACAACTCAAAGGGAATACCTTACAAACAAAAACAAAAAGGATATATACAAAAAAGGATACAAATAAATAAACAATTCTCAAAGTATGCATTTCCCTCCACAGGGTGATGAGGGCTTCCCAGGATTCTCAGGACGAAAGGTAATACACAACACTGAGTCCTGAGTAGAATCTCAGCTTAGATTACAGAGTAACTCTGTTTCTCATTTCCATTCACTTCCCTTCCATCATTTCAGGGAGCAGCTGGTGACCCCGGCACAAAGGGCGGCCCTGGACCCATAGGCAATCTTGGCCAGAGGGTACGTTTGGAGATCCTTAGATTGATTCATTTGATAGAACATTGTAAATGTGTATATATATAGATATACTGTATGGTATCACTTAGCCTAAGCCCCCAGCATCACTGGACATGTTTGGTGAATACGGTGACACGGTGACCTGATACAGTAGAAACCTTTATGCAGGCTTAGCTGTGAATGAGCTGCATGACTGTGCACATTAAAACAAGCTATTTTTAAAACAAAAAACCAATAGCTTTCATTATTTTTTCTTTCCACTTGTCATTCTTTCCAGGGTGTCTCTGGGAATATAGGAACATCCGGACAGAAGGGAGAGGTCGGACATCCTGGGCCATATGTAAGCAACATGAAATGATTCCTTTAGAGGAACCTCTGTATGAATGACGTGGTGCTACCGTAGCAACATTTCTGGAGTTATGATTTTTAGTATACGAACACTTTCTGAAAAGTGATGTTTAACATGTGATTCACTCCAGCTCACCTTATTGTTGCTCTTTACAACATTTGTTATTATAAGCAATGCAAAAAAATGCTTTTTGTCATGGGTAACGTGCACTTGTTAACACAACTGTTTTTATTTGATTTGAATAGGGTCAGAAAGGACCGAGGGGACCAGGTGTTGTGGTATGTGCTTCTATACACAGTTTAGAAACTGTATTTAATAAATAACAAAACACATCTCTGGTGATCACTCAACGTGTTTCTCTTTTGTTCTCAGCAATGTGACCTGGTTAAGAAAATCAGAGAAAACTGCCGTGAGTACAATTCTGAAATCAACAGTAATGTTATTACATGACAACCGTAACAAATAAATGAATATAATCATGTGTTGTGGACTAAAAACAATATTTGTCCCCTATTTCCTACCAGCTTGCTGTTATGGTAAGTCAAACAAATACTATGAATTAGTTGAAATATGTGCTTTATGCACTGTTACACACAATCTAAATCTTCTACGTACACCCACAGGTCAGCAGGAGTGCCCGCTCTACCCCACTGAGCTGGCCTTTGTCCTGGATACCTCCGAGGGCGTTGGCCGCCCATTCTTCGACAACATGCGTGACACAGTCCTGCGCCTGGTCCGGGACATCACCATCTCTGAGAGTAACTGTCCCAGAGGGGCTCGTGTGGCTGTCACCATGTACAACGATGAGGTGACCACTGATGTCCGCTTTGCCGATGCAATGAAGAAACGTGCGCTGCTGCAGCGCATCGAGGGGCTGCAGCCCCGGCAGACCCGAAAGCAGCGCAACTTGGACACCGCCATGAGCTTTGTGGCCCAGAACACCTTCAAGAGAGTGCGCAGCGGCTTCCTCATGAGGAAGGTGGCCGTCTTCTTCGTGGGCGGGGCCACCAGCAAGGCGCAGGAGATTACTAACGCAGCTCTCCGCCTCCATGATGCTGGCATCTCTGCACTGTTCTTAGTCAACCGTGAGGACAGAGCTCTCGGCAAGGCACTGCAGGTAATACAGAGCAGACACACAACAGATATCACCTCAAATATAAAACCCACATCCAGAAACCTTGGTGTGATGATTGATAGTAACCTCTCTTTTAATCAGAAGTTTCTGTTTTGATCAGTTTTCTATCTATTCAAAAATTAAGTCATCCACTTTTGCCTACTTTTATTTCATCACGTCTGGATTACTGTAACTCCTTATGTTCTAGATTAAGCCAAAAAGCAATATCCCTCCTTCAACTTGTTCAAAATGCAGCAGCAAGATCTTTTACAAATAAGGCTAGACCCCAACACCCCTAATTTAGTCTGTATTTACTGGTAACCTGTCTGTTTTAGAATTGGTTTTAGATTTTACTGATTACTTTTAAAGATCTAACAGTTTGGATCCTGATGACCTCCCTGACTTGTGTGCCCTTATGAGCCTGTGGCAGCCTCAGATCCTCGGGTAGGGCTCTTCTTTCTGGCGGTTCCCAAAACCACGCTAAAAACTAAGGGGGACCGAGCCTTTTACATCAGAGCTCTGCAGCTCTGGAACTCCCTGTCCGAGAATCTGAGGCTGGCAGAATCAGGGACATCTTTTAAATCATTTCTTAAAACTAATCTCTTATTAAAGCCTTTTACTAATAATGCCATTGCTCGGTTTTACTGTACATCCATGTTTTATTCGACTTTACTTTCTTTTTACATTTGTATTATTGTACTTAACATTGTATAGTTTGCAGGGTGGGGTTAGTTGACCTCATGTTCTGTTGCCGCCTGAGCGACTTGTCCATGTAAAGCACTTTGTAACTTTGTTTTTAAAAGTAGGCCTACTGTATAAATATGAATAATTATGATTGTTATATGTCAAAGGGGAACTTTGCAGTACAGGCATACACATAAGCCTATTGACAGTGTCTCTACAGGAGAAACTGATACAGTGAACTGTACTGTGCCTCTTGTTCTCCAGGTGAACAACACAGCCCTGGCTCAGGTCCTCGTGCTGCCTGGCCCTGGAAGTGCTCAGTACAATTCAGTCCTCCAGAAGGTGATGAACTGCCATGTCTGCTTCGGTAAGAGCTCCATGTTTGAACATTAATAATGTCACCACAGATTAGTTTTTGTTAATATTATATCTTAATATATTTTTCACATTTACACTGATTTTCTTTTCCAAAAAATCGTTTGTTTTTTTTGTCCGTTAAAGTCGAAATCTTCCGGACAAAATGAGAAAAGTGCCGGTCAAAGGTCTTCTTTGTTATTTATTGAGCTTTAAAAGAAATGTATATGATTCGATATTAAACAAACTACTTATAGTAGATTAACTACATTATTCAAAAGTGTAATTTACAATAATACGGGAATAATAAACGGAGCCCTCCCTCTCCTGACAGCCCGTCAGTATCCGTCTCATGCAACTCGCGGATCAGTAATGAGTGACCCGACAGTAAAAAATAAACATATCTATAACTAGTGTAGGTAGTTTGAGAGGTAATTAAAATAGCTACGTGTGATTTTTGCGCAACTGATGCGGTATTGTGCTAAGGGCAAATTATTTTGACCGGACATTTTGACCGGAGAGATTTAGATTTGCCGGTCTTCAGCATATTTTACCGGTCAAAGTCCGGTAATTACCGGCTAACGGAAACTCTGGACAGTACACTGGCTTAATGAGTACCTCCAATACAACTTTTGAGGATTCGAAATACATCGCCTTCATTTAGTGACTAAAGTAACAATACATTGTATGGGGTTGCTTTTTTTTTAGACGTCTGCTCTCCGGACCAGATGTGTGACTATGTGCCCCCGTCAGCTAGCCGAGACAGGAGGTCTTCCACCACCGACGAGGACATCGACATGGCTTTCCTCATGGACAGCTCGGAGACAACTTACCCAACTGTCTTTACTGAAATGAAACGTTACATCGCGTCCATCGTTGAGCAGCTCCAAGTGTCTTCAAATCCCACAACATCCGCTCACCACCCCAGAGTGTCTGTGATCCAGCAAGCCCCTTACGAGTTCCTCAACAACAAAACTGGCTCTCCAATCCGTGTTGACATCGGTTTGACCGAGTACAGCTCAGCTCAGGATATAGTCAAATTCCTGCTGGAGAAGACGCCACAGCTAGAGGGTGGCCGGGCGCTGGCGGCGGCTATCGAATCGACCGTGGAGCAGGTGTTTGAAGTGGCACCTCTCCAACGTTCCAGGAAAGTGCTGCTGCTCTTTGTGACAGGAAGTGTAGAAGGAGAAGAGGAGCAGCTGGTGCGTATTGCCACTGAGATCAAGTGCAGAGGCTACTTCCTGGTGATCCTGGGTGTGGGCGAGACTCTGAGCGCTGGGGATGCTCGTGTATTGTCACGCATGGCCAGTGAGCCGTCGGATGTCTTCTTTAAGCGGCTGGACACCATCTCACAATTTTACGACAAACACATGCAGACCTTCGGCCAGCTGCTGCCAAAGTACATCAGCAGTAAGTCAAAGACCATTTATTTTGTTTATCTTTTTGTTTCTTTTTGTCTAAATGCCATTAATTGATAGGTTAATCCAAGTCCCTGTGAGTGACACACCATGTTCTGCCTTATTCTTCTCTTTAGTTGAAAATGCTTTCTACATGTCCCCTGAAGTCTCCAAAAACTGCAAGTGGTTCCAGAGTGACCAGGCCCTGAAAAACCCCTTTTCTTCATCACACCAACAGGAGTTAGTATTGTAGTATTTTGTATTTATTTATAACTTGTTTCTGTTTTGGGACTTTGATGGTTTTATTCACGATGTATTGGTATATGCACAGGGAACATCACAAACATCATGAAAACCAGCAGACAGTTCATCAAAGAAAGCACACTGGTAAGTTTGGATTCAACAAAATAACTGAACTGTTTCAGCAGATAACGTGACTTTAAAGTACTGTTTGATATGGACTGGTAAATACGGCTTTATTCACTTTGAATTCTGATTCTTTAAGCCTGGGGTGTCTAACTCAATTTCATTGCGGGCCACATTAGCATTATGGTTGCACTCAAAAGGCCGGTTGTAACTTTAAGACTATATAAATATACATATATAAATATAATGTATTACATTATAGGCTCTGCATTGGATTATTATCAGTTCTGGTAATAAATCCATAAATACTACGTCTGAAAGAAGAAGTCTAGGGCAAATAATTGAAAGCAAATATTGAACAATTACGCCAATTGTAGTGTACATTATATTCCTTGCAAGCTCTTGCGGGCCACATAAAATGAGGTCCAAAAATCCGGCCAAAGGCCCAATCTGGCCCACGGGCCTTGAGTTTGACACCCCTGCGTTTAAGCAATGCATAGATAACAGCTAATAGTAGCTGCGGATACATTTCCCCATAGCTAAGAGCCATACTGAAGTGAGTATTCCCCCCTTCAGAGTCAGATGAGCTCCACGTCTCTAACGTGACCTCCAGCAGCCTCAAGCTGCGTTGGACCAACCCGGACTCCAAGCTCTTTGTGTACTTCGAGGTGATGGTGACCCGGCTGCATGACCACGCCCTGGTGCTGAAGACCAACGTGTCGGGCACAGAGCTCTCCGTGGACAACCTGCAGAGTGCTCAGACATACCACGCTGTGGTCACCGCCCACACTGCAGAGGGACAGGTCGTCTCCACCCGCAAAGGCATCATGACTACGAGTAGGTCCTTAAACACATCTACAGAAATGAGTCGTACGTTTTTTATCCCACAAGATGATGTCTTATTAAAAAAACATGAAGGAATATTTCCTATCACCCACAACATTGAAACCTTGTGAATTCTACCAGATATGAACATGTCTGGGTGGGGAAGACAAAGAAAGTACAGCAAGAAACAGCAATGACTTAAGTGGTGCTGGATTATATACAAGATGTTATAATAATATATAATTGTATTTTAAACATTATATCAATTATTCCTATTTAAAATGATCCATGTTATCTGAATGTATTGCAATACCCCTACTTTGACCCTTACTTTGCAGACTTTTTGGACATTTTTAAACACCTTGGTCTTTTTTTTGTTTGGTGTTTGCTGTTTTTTGTGTCTGTGTTTGGGGAGGGGAGATGTTAAACATGTTTTAAACTAAAGCCAAATGAAACTGAATACATCTTCCCTTTGACAGAAGCAGCAGAGCATAAGCCATCCAGCCGGAGCAGCAGCCCTGTGAACACTACACCGCTGGACAGACCACAAACTGGTGAGTGACTGCACATGTTTTCTGCTTTTACCTGTACTATGTTTTTTTAAACTTGCATGAAATGTTAATAAGCTGGAAGAAATTCACTCTTTGATCTTCCCTTCAGTATTTACTCTATATTTTACTGCTGCAAGGATGTTTATGGTCTGTTTGTATGTCACTGTGTTTCCTAGGCAGTATGATAGTCTTATAAATAAAACCTGATATTCCAAGAACATAACATGCTCTGCTGTGGACAGCAATATTTTGCAACAAAAAATGTAAAGTCCCAAAATAGAATGTGGGTCATTCAGGAAAACGTAGAAAACCTACCGCTCAAACTATTGGTCTTGGTTGCTTGAAGTTGCATTGTAAGAAATCAACTTCTTGTTGGTAAGACAGTAGAAGCAGGGAAACATATTTGTCCGAGGAGTAAAGCTTTGATGAGGACATCTAAAGAGACTGTAACAGGAGAGTCTGAGGAGATAAGCTTCTCTACCTGCCCTGCAATCATTCGTTTAGCAATGCTGCCTTTATTATCTGTATTCAGTGATCGCTGTACTCTGATAAGCCAGTGTGTGTCAGGAAGGAACTGAATAGAAATGAGGGCAAGCTGACATGAAAAACCGGGACAGGGCAAACAATCCCAACAGGTGGGAAAACACAAATACAGGAAGTAAAAACAGACAAAACACGGGGAGAAAACTTTTCAAAATAAAACAGGAAACACAAAAACCATGATCAGGACTGTGAGCAAGAACATGAGTTTACCAGCAAAGTTTACACAATGATGTCCCAGAAATGAATGAACAGACGATGCAGCCAAGACTCCAGAGAATGTTCCTAGTTATCTGCGATGAAGAATTTATATTTATTGTATGGGTTTGACTCCTGGGATTGGTAACATGCTGGTAACCTGAACCACACAGCCTAAAGACCGTGGATGACTAAACTAACAAAACAGTAGCTGGAGTTATAACTAACTGTGAGATTCACCAATGAACCTGCACCTAAACCTCTTTCTTTCTACTGAATGCTTTCTTATTTTCAAATGTCCAAACTCCTAATAATGCCAGTAGCCCTTGAAAGATGTTATGGCATGTTGTGTTCCATTTCCTTTGCCCTAGGAGAATGAACCATATCAATTATAAGATTCATTTGACCCATTAGAGCTAAACACCCTTATTAATATGATTGTATCCAAAACCAGCATCTTCTTTAACAGCACACAGTACATGCTGTATGTTTAATATATACTTCATTAAATATTAACACAAACTCATCTTCTCTCTCTGTCTGTCGTCCATCACTGCTCTTGTCTTTTTTCTTTATGCATGTTCTAGTTAATGAATTTGCAGACCAATGCTCACTTGACTATGATCCTGGAATGCCGTGCAAAGACTATCAGGCTAAGTGGTTCTTTGACAGAAAGAACGGGATCTGTACACAGTTCTGGTATGGAGGTTGTGGAGGCAATGACAATAGGTTCCACACTGAGGCCCTCTGCCTGAAAAACTGCTTGAGGTCAGGTACGTGTTTGTCAGGGCTGGGCCCTCTGAGGGAATGTACTGTTGGGTTGGCCTGATACAACACAGCACACAACCTGCAGATAAAGACCTGCAGGTTGAGTATCAAACAAAGGTTTGCTAAACCTTGCTCCAGAACTACTGTAGTCCAGTCACAGCTGAGCACACCAGGCCATGGATGTCCCCACAAAATACAATGGTGTGCAAATGAGTCTCTAAAAAAGGAGGGTACTTATTTAAAGGGTGTTTTCTTTTTTTAAGCATCACTTTTAGAGCGAAAAGATGAACAAATGTAAAGGATAGATGAAACCGTTTTTTTATCTGCTCAAATGTAAGCTGTGAATGCTAGCATGGCCTGCTAGGTGGTTAACTACAGCAGTGACCTCCAGAGTCAAGGCATATGTCATGTTCCTTCAGAATAAAGAAAAATATGTTTTGGGTTTGAGCCTGGTTGCTGGTATATCAGGTTGCAAGGCTTTGTCCTGCTCTTCATTTAGCTTGTGGACGTTCACAGTTTGCATATTCAAGACACTTTGCTGTGTTTGCTTTAGTTACACAAATGACTGGAAGCAGCGTTTCCAACCAACTCACACACAGGCAGTGCGAGAATTAGAAGCTTGACGGGCGTAGACACTCTAATTAAGTGGGCAAGGCTTAGCAAACCATTCATTTATTCCATGATATTTATAGAAGCTGAAGTTTACTGTTATTCCTGTGAATTCTCTTTCAACATGTCAATGATCCCATGATAGGTGTACTGGAAGGGTCAAGCAGTAAACGGAAAGCATTTTGCTAATGTGCCTTACAGACAATGATGATTGAATAGTAAATGTCTGTGGTAATTCATATCTGTATATCACCACATCCTGATCGTTTTCCAGCAGCTGGTGAACATCTGTCTCTTTCAGCTGAAACCACATCTAACTGTTATGTTTCCACAGTGCCAGAGCTGGAGCCACGCGTGCAGCAGGTTGAACAGGTGGAGGTCCTCCTGGATCCTGGTGAGATCTCGTATACATTCACTGCTGAGTATCTCTCTGCACAGTATTATGTGACTGTTCCTTCCCCTCTAACTCTTTATTTTTGAAGACATAGCTGACTTTAATGTGGCTGTGACATACAGTATATGCTAGTGAGCCAATAGAGACGAAAAAGCACTTCCTTCCTGGTAGAGTATAAAAACAAGCGAATCACATCCTCAAAACTTGATATGAATTTTCAGACCAACCCTAATGTTATGCATTTTTCTCAAAAAGATATGCATCACTGTATAATTCAATTTCCACAAAACTTTGCTAAACAATAATTCCTTTGTATTGAACTGGAAACTAACCCACCTCCTTCACTGCTCCTCTGCTGCTCTATATGACGGAAACAAGTCAAAGCCAAGCTTGGAAATCTGGGAAGTTATGCTTTTGTCACAGGAGCAAGCCAAGTCCTGACCACAGAGAAAATGAATGGAAAGCCTTGTTCACTGCTTCATTGTTTTTCTGGCAGTAGTCCTCCCAGAAGACAAGTTCAATTTGTCAGTACGGTTAGACGTTGCCGTAAATTGGACTGAAAGACTTAGTCTAAACGCAATGGGCTCTATCTCAATTGATTATGGAATAATGAAAATCTGCACTGATTAAAGTGCTTTCATGCTTTCCTTGCAACATTGCAGCATTGTGCTTATTTCCATTGGGCAATCCTCTACGTGATGTTCCACTAGACATTACGTTTATTAAGTTATTTAGTGAGCAGTTAGTTAAAGCATGCAGCCCTGCCAGTGATATGTGTCGTTGTAGTTGCGTTGTGTTTTTATACTCTCCATGATCTTCTTTGTCACTCCCCTCCCAGCGGGCTCTACAGCTTTGGACATTTGCCAGCTTTCCAAAAAGGAAGGAACTTGTGCCAAGTTTGTCCTGAAGTGGCACTTCGATGCCACCAGTAAGAGCTGCACGCGCTTCTGGTATGGAGGCTGTGGTGGGAACCAGAATCGCTTCGACACGCATCAGGAGTGTGTGAACGCTTGTGGAAAACCAGGTACATGTTCTGTTCATAATAATCATCTTCCAGTATCCCCGATCAGCTATGATCAAGTTACTGACCCATGAAGAGAACATCTTGAAATGCCACTAAACTCCACTGGCAAAACAGTAATTGTACTCAGTACACATGAGTTGGTGGTCCAACGCTGCCTTCATCGGTTACTAGCCAATCATAAGGTAGTTCTGCCGTCACCAAGTTAGGAAAAAAGAAAATTGTGAAGTTCCGATGATGTCATCACACATGTGCTTCAGTTTGTTGCAGGGAGTTGTGCATTCAGAATAATGGGGGGGTTTTGTTGGGATCACACCTGTTGGACAATGAGATTTTTTTCCCATGGCATCATTTTCAGACTACTGATGTTTTGGATTAATGGGCTTTCAGAACAATAGGAAGTCCCCATGGAAACAAATACATGTTATTTTATTCATTCAATGGCTAACCATGTTTCTCCTTTCATTCATTATCAGCACCCCTCAAACAAGGAGTCCTCGCTGCGATGAGAACATAGAACACAGCTTCCTCCAAACCATCCAAAATGGCCATACTGTAAGGATGCAAAGCCAAAGCAAGGGTGGCTTCACTGGACTCCACAAAAAATGACTTTAACCCAAATTCTTGAAGTATTTTTTTAACAACAAGAAGGAAGCAACACGATTTGCTGCATGATTTGTTTTAACCTACTGGTGCTATGTAGTATGTTTGTTTTATCAATTCATTAAGTGCATTTTGGAACAATGGCATCATAAGAGTTTTTAAAATCACTTTGATAATTAAGAAAGAAACTATGACATTTTTGGACAGAGATTAGTTATAACTGAGTATGCAGGACTGGCATGCAATGCAGTATCCTTTTTATGTGTTTTTTACATTCCACATTCACATAGCAACATTGGCTTTTATTGACTCTTATGTTTTAAACTTCACTTGATCCCTGTAGCTTCACGACTTTACAGCCTCACAATCCACAGTAATGTTTAGTCTCATGTGTGTATATAAATGACAATGACCAAACATAATGAAATGTTAAGTGCACTTCTGGATCCACTGCCTCAGAACACACAAGTTCCAGCTGTTGAGAAATGGAATGTACTTATCAAGCTGTTTTTATTTGTGTTTCATTTGATTTTAACTGAAATGTGTGTTTTATCTGGGTATAGGGGAAATAAACACGAAATAGACTTTCTAATAAACATGAGCAACTCATTATTTTCTTTCCTGTTTTGAATAATAAACATGACAAGGTACATGGTTCACATTGCACTTAATGTCATTGTGGAACTCAAACAGCAGCTGGAGGTTCAACAAAACCAGAAGCTGTTAACATCCCAAAACAGTTATATTTGTTATTATTGAATATTACACTACTGCCTTTTACTCTTCCATCTATAATTAAATTGCAGTGATATGTTAAAATTCAGTGGTAAGAAGTAACTAACTACATTTATTCAAGTACCGTACTTAAGTGCAATTGTAACCCTCCTGTTGTGTTCGTTTCCCTCCCTTACTTTGGTGTTCGCGGTCAAATGTGACGGGTCCTGTTTTAACTGCTATTACATGAACACAAAAACCATTCATCATCACCACATTTCATTTAACACCCTTTCAAACTGTACATATTGTATCAGACTACTGGTATACATGAACAACTGCAGTACATATACAAAGAACAGACACTGAACATGTATTGGTGTGCCAGGTGTGATTCATGTGGGGGGATGGGCACATAAGAGGGGGGGAACACATTGTGTGTGTGTGTGTGTGTGTGGTGTGTGTGTGTGTGTGTGTGTGTGTGTGTGTGTGTGTGTGTGTGTGTGTGTGTGTGTGTGTGTGTGTGTGTGTGTGTGTGTGTGTGTGTGTGTGTGAGACCGTGAACACCATGGTGTTTCAAAGTTGACTAAATCATCCAAAATGCAATGAAAGTGTGATCAGTAATTGTATATGTTCAAATGTCTCCTGTGAAGGATATCATAAAGCCTTAATGCAATCGAATGTCAAACTAAAAAGTTATGATCGATGAAAGAAGTAAATCGGTCAGATTTGATCCGAACACAACAGGAGGGTTAAGATACTTCAACTTTACTATATCCATTTGATGCTACTTTGTACTTCTACTTCACTACATTTCAGAATTAAATAGTGTACTTCTACTCCACTACATGTATTTAATCCCTTTAGTTACTTCACAGATGTGGATGAATGATGTGAAATATAACCAAGTGTTGAATCAGACTTTAGTTCCACCTGGAGTAAATCCACCAGCTACCCTGCAGTATACAAAGTCATTCAGACTAGCTGCACCTTTACCAGCTTTGAGAACACTTTCATGATCAATCATTATAAAACATATCATATATATTATTCTGAAATGGACCAATCAAACAATCACTACTTTTACTGTCGCTACTTTCACGATATTTATAATAATACTTTTCTACTTTTACTTATATTTTGAATGATTAGAGTATTCCTACAATCTGGAACTGAGTACTTCATCAACCTCTGCTTGAATTCCACTGAAAGAAGAAAGCAGACAACATTCTGCAGTGAACAAAATCTATTGTCATGATTAAGAATGTTTTATAGAGTTCTAAGAAGTTTGCAGCGCCCCCTGTGACTCCGAGCTCCATGACTGTTATGAGGCTGGATCCTCTGACCACCAGACTGCACCTCCTCCCTGACTAAAGGAGTTGAGCTGCAGACATTACGACTAATAGTGTTATTTGGCAACATGTAATGCCCCCAAAGCATGTCAGACTCCTGAGAAAGTCCAAAGCTTTAAAGTAGATCACACCTGTTGTTAGTAAAAAGCTGTTGTGAAATCGGCTACACTCAGAAAGACCTGTGATGGCTGATGTTAGGAGAGAAGCAACACACTTTCAAAGGGTCTTTAAAGTGGACCTATCATGCTATATTTGAAACATATATTGTAGGGCCATACCTATATAAAGTATATAAATATAGTTTGTTTTTTTTAAATACCAAAAAGATCCTGCATTTTAGCCATGCCTCATTTTGCTCTATTTGCTCTTTCCAGCGCTGTTTTTGCAGGGGGCTGATTCTGTGAGCTGCAGCTGACCATGCCCCCCTGCAGGGGAGTTGGCAGTTACTTTGGCATTAGGGCAGGGATATCTAGATACTTTCCAAGGTTTGACATAATGAATTGTGCTACTTTTAAAGCAAGCAGTGATGTTTTCAAATCTGTAATCAAAAAGCTCCTCAAAAACGCTATCGAAGCAGTTCCTGCCGTTGCTACGTTAGTTCAAACAGTAACAACGGACTACTTTTCTTAGCGGATGCATGTCAATTTAAATCAATACATAAAACTATTTTTTAAATCAATAAAATCATTTTCTAAATCCATAAAAGCATTTCAATTAATATTGGGAGTCATGTCGTTACTTTGTCGAGAATGTGGCCATGTAATAAGCGGGATAATGTGCACATTGCATAATGTGCCTTCATGCCGATCTAGATCCCTCCGCTTCGCGTCGGGCTCCTGATCAGCCTGTCGGTGTTCTTTTCCCCATAATGACCGCGTCGCTGCACATTATCCCTTACATATGATTATATAGAGTCATTATTCATTTGTTTTAAAGCAGGAGGAGCAAAAGCTTGCCTCTGGGAGGGAGACAAAGAGCCATAGCGGAGAATAAACAGAAGGGCAACCATGGCAACCATGCAAGGGAAGTCTTCTTCGCTGCTTTTGTGGCAGACTACAGCGCCACTTACAGGCCTGGCATATGTACTACAGCGTCTCCAGCGCTTTCGAGCAGCAATGGCCGGCCGTGGCCCAACCTCTCATTCCCCTGATAGGTGGAGAATTGACCAATAGCCGTAGCACTACCGTCCTGACGTCAGGACAGTGTTCAAATCTGGATCAGTCTGTATCAGATCCGTTGCAGCCCCTTTTTTAGAGATTTGGGTATGGAGGAAAATAGAGAGGGTTGTGTTTTCTGACACTTGGTGAGTTCCCTGGAACACCGGGGACACATATTCATGTATAAAAGACGTACAAAAGTGCATTTTGCATGATAGGTCCCCTTTAAGTAACTAATAAAGCAAACTTTTTTTGTAAGGACACTTTGTGCTCATGGTCGCTAACCATTTGTGTAATTTCGTTCTACAATTACTGTTTGAATGTTACTGCTTTTAGATGAAAGTGAATGAACTTCAAAGTGAAGGGAGCCCTGCCCTAAATGAATGAGATAAGATAACTCTGGTTGTGATTTGGGGGTTTATAAATAGACTTGACCTAACTCCAGAATGTCATTTTCTGTTTCTTCAACAAAATGATGTTCCCAAATGATGAAGATACTTGTTTGAATTAGCATTTAACATTTCACAGAGAAAACATTTTAGAATTCATAACTGAACAGTAAAAATGACCAAACACAAAGTGATAACTGCTTCCTCTGCGACCCGACCACGGACAAGTGGGAGAAGATGGATGGATGGAAAAAAGTGAGTTTCTAATAAAACATCTGTTAAGGGGGGGAGTTCCTGTGGGATTTGATTGTTGGTATTTGTGAAGATTGGCTAACCTCCATTACCAGAATGCGTTGTGCATTCAGTGGGGAAGGTTCACAAATGTAACCTTTTCTTTCACATGACCTCAGTATTCCTTACAACCCTTTAAAAAAAAGATAAAATGAAAATATACCCAAGAGATTACCCATGATTAGTGTGTTTCTCCCTTGCCTCTAAGAGCCTATCCATCCATCTAATAATGTTATAAAACAATGTATCATTCACAGAGGACGATTACTTTAATTATTGATGCTTGATAATACCAATGCACTTTTACAGGTCAATATAAAAATCACACATTTCAAGAAGCAAGTATTTTGACTCTGTTGATTTGGTACATTGAAGGATCTGAGTACTTCCTTCCTTGATCTTATTATATCCTCTCACAACACACCACCCTCAAATCAGACCTGTGCTTTTTTTAACAGTTTTTTTTTTCAACAGTCCTAGAGGATGAGAGTTGTGTGGCTCAGTGGACCCTACCATTTTGCTTTAATTTGTTCGTCTCCTCAAATCTGTCTGATATGAGCCTCTGCTGTACTTCAGAGGTGCAGGAGGTATAACTATAGAAACAAAAACCCAGCCAGTCCTCCATGATCAACAAAAAAACAGTGGCCTCAGCAACTGGCAATTGTGTGTCAGAGTTTCCACAATGAGCAGTAAGTGACTAACAGCAGCTCCCTGTGGTCCAGTACCGAGGCCTTCAGCACATGCCAAAGAAAACCTCCCACCCCCTTCTAACATGCAACCAGCCAGCCGCATATGAACTATAATAAATAACCTCCACACCGTTAAACAGAGAAAATCATTATTCGGGTTTCCGTACAGTGATAAATGGATCAAAAAGAACATGCGAAAAAAGCATAATCTTTTTCTCCTTTCACCTCCCTTTTCTATTCCAACCAAATCACGCGCTCTCACTGATTTCATCCCGTTTGAAACTTTAATATTTCAATGCTACCATTCCTCTCTGGGTGTTTTTACCTTTTTCAAATCTTTCTCTATCGACAAAACTGCACAGTCTGTGGATACAGGAATGTACTGCATCAAGATTCTGGATGATCATGTTCTTAGTATTTAGCAGTGGTCAGGACCAGCAAGGCTGGCCGAAGCACTATCAGAATCACTTACTAACATTGTAATATATTTTTTATATATCTAAATGGCAATTAATCTGTTGCCTCGACCAATCGGATTAAGAGGGCATCTAGCAGGCCTACGATAATGTAGGCATTTTCATGTCCTTTGATTGGATTGTCAGTGCTAGCAAATACTAGCATAGCGATAGCGACCTGCTAGCAAACAGCATCTGTAGCGTCCTTATCAACCTGCACAAGGTAAAATATTTCCGTTTAGATTTTAAAGCTGTTTTTCAAACCACAATGGCTGACAGCGGAGGAGACATTGATTTGGTGAAGCTAGCAAGCCAGTCGCAGCCGGGGAAAGGGTTTGTCCACCACTTCCAACTCACTAACTGTAGTGGTACATCACAGCCTCCGAGGAGCACATTGCTGGGAACGCCTGATATTCACAACTGATCAACTCGGTGTTTGGAGCCATATACGTTTTCAAACTTGAGTTGTCTAACCAAGGCAGCAGCGAGACACAAAGCACGGCTGGACACTTATAAGCAACGGTGCTTTTGAAAACTTTTGGGGAAGCCTAAGT